TCGTCTTCGGCCAGCTGGTCGATGACATGAACGGCGCCACGTGCGCGGTCGAGAACGCCGAGGGCAACCCCTTCCGGTACGAGCACGACATCAACGACAAGGTGCTCATCATCGTCTACATCGCCATTGCCGCCTTCGCACTCATCTACATTTACGTGCTCTCGTGGAGTCTCATCAGCCAACGTCTCGCCGCCCGCCTCAGGAACAAGTATGTCTCTGCTCTTTTGCGCCAGCCGCCCGCCTTCTTCGATACCCGTGCCGCTGGTGGCGAGGTTAGCACGCGTTTGCATGGCGACATGGCGGCGCTGCAGGCTGGTACTTCGGAAAAGGTGGGCGTGTTGCTGGCTAGTATCAGCTTTTTTATCACTGCCTACGTCGTGGCTTTCATCAAGCAGGCTAAGCTGGCTGGTATTTTGATCTCTATGATCCCGGCTTACCTCGCCATGGGTCTGGTTGGCGGTGCTTACTTCCAAAAGTACATGATCAAGGCTGCCGGCGCCATTGCTAGCGCTTCGTCCATCGCCTCCGAGGCTCTCAAGAACGTCATTGTCGTCCAGGCTTTCGGTGCCGCGCCCAGACTGGAGGCCAAGTTCGCTGATCACATGGCTACGGCTCGTGATGCGGGAATCAAGAGAGGCATGTCGGCTGCCGTCCAGGCCGGTCTGCTCTACTTCATCGCCTACGCCGGTAACGCTTTGGCTTTCTGGGAAGGATCTCGCATGGTTGCGGATGCCATGGCCGGCAAGGGCAGCGAGACCATTGGTCAGATCTACACTGTCATCTTCATCTTGGTCGATGCTTGCGTCGTCCTTGGTAACATCTCTCCTCTTTTGCCCCTTTTGGGTGGTGCCCAGGCTGCTTTCGACAGACTGATGAAGGACATCGAGGAGCCTTCTCCCATCGACGGTACTTCCGACAAGGGCGTCGTCCTTCCCTTTGAGACTCGCGGCGAGATCCGCTTCGAGAATGTCTCCTTCTCTTATCCCAGCCGCCCTGACCAGCTGGTCTTGAAGAACGTCGACCTGACCTTCCCTGCTGGCAAGCACACTGCCATTGTTGGTCTTTCCGGCAGTGGCAAGTCCACCGTTGCGGCCATGATCAGCCGTCTCCAGGATCCCAACTCGGGCAGAATTACCATGGACGGCTACGATCTCAAGGAGCTCAACGTCCGCAGCCTGCGCTCTTTCATCAGCCTGGTCCAGCAAGAACCCTCTCTGCTCGACCGCTCCATCCTCGAAAACATTGCTCTCGGTCTCATCAACTCCCCAAAGCCCGAACACCAGCGTCTCAAGGACATCCTCCACAGCCACGAGCTCGCCGACCTGGCCAAGAAGGGCAAGGACTCCATCAACCCCGCCACCGTCAGCACCTTTGGTCCCCTCGTCGAAGAGATCATCAATCTCATCCAGCATGCCGCCACCGAGGCCGATGCCGCTAGCTTCATCGAACGTCTCGAGAAGGGCTACGGCACCTATGCCGGTCCCTCTGGTTCCATGGTCAGTGGTGGTCAACGCCAGCGTGTTGCCCTCGCCAGAGCTTTGATCCGTGATCCCAAGATTCTTCTCCTCGATGAGGCCACTTCAGCCCTGGACTCTGCCTCTGAGCGTCGCATCCAGGAAGCCGTCGACCGTGCTGCCAAGAGCAGGACTGTCATTTCCATTGCCCATCGCCTGTCAACCATCCGCAACGCCGATAAGATCGTTGTCATGGAAGCCGGCAACGTCATCGAGGAAGGATCGTACGACGAGCTTATGGCCAAGGAGGACGGTGCTTTCGCCAAGATGGCCAACCTCCAGACCCTTGGTACTGCTCACAAGGCCGAGGCCGGTTCGTCTGTCTCTGGCGAGTCCATCGAGTCTTCCTCTTCCGCCACCGGAACCTCCGTCGAGAAGCCCTCGGCTTCTCAAGTCGCTGTCACTCCTGCTCCCGCTCCCGCTGCCGCCGAGGCCGTCGCTCCTAGTGGAGACGAGATTCCCGGCCTGGACACCAATCGTCCCCTGAGCAGCGTCATTCGGTCCCTCGGCCGTTTCCTCCGTCCCAGTCTCGGCTGGCTCGTGATCGCCATCTTCGCGGCCGTCATCGTCGGCGGTACCTTCTCCGGATCTGGTGTGCTGTTCGGTTTCACCATCAGCGCTCTCAACGCCTGCAGCAGCACCATGGAAAAGGTCCTCTACCACGGCATGTTCTTTGGCGGTTTTCTCTTCATGCTTGCCTGCGTCGAGTTCTTTGCCAACTTCGCCGCCTGGTCGTGCTTCGCTCTCATCGCCGAGAAGCTCCTCTACGCCATGCGCGTGCTTTCGTTCCGCTCTCTGATGGAGCAGGGCGTGCAGTGGCACCAGTCCGAGGGCCGTAGCCCGTCGTCGCTGTTGACCATCATCACCAAGGACAGCGCTTCGGTCGGTGCCTTCTCCGGCTCCACCATCGGCACCGTCTTCTCCATCTGCGTCAACTTCATCGCCGCCATCATCTTGTCTCACATCTTCGCCTGGAAGATCGCCATCGTCTGCCTCTCCATCGTGCCCATCCTCCTCGGCACCGGCCTGATGCAGCTCCGCATGCTCGCCCGCTACGAAGAGCGCCACGCCGAGGCCTTCAACAAAGCCACCTCCGTGGCCGTCGAAGCCGTGCAGACCATCAAGACGATCGCCGCCCTCTCGCTCGAGCACGAGGTCCTCGGCTCTTACGAGCGCCTGCTCAAGAACAACCGCGACGAAATGGTCAAGGCCGCGGCCTTCACCAACATCTGGCTCGCCCTCGCCAACTCGATCTCCTTCCTCGTCTACGCCTTCGCCTACTGGTGGGGCTCGCAGCGCATCATGCACGGCGAGTACTCGCAGCGCGACTTCTTCATCGTCCTCGTCGCCATGCTCGTGTCCGCCCAGCTCTGGGGCCAAATGTTTTCTCTCGCGCCCGAATTCTCTCGTGCCCGTCTCGCCATCTCCCGCATCTTGGGCGTCATCGGCCTCGGCTCCAACGACCACGTCCACGACTCCTCCTCTTCCCCTACCTCACCCGACCCCGAAGCCACCGGCGAATCCTCCGCCTCCCACCTCTCCGCCCAAAAGAAGTGCGGCGTGCAAATCACCTTCTCCAACGTTTCCTTCGCCTACCCCTCGCGCCCCGACCACCCCGTCCTCGACTCCGTCTCCTTCACCATCCAACCCGGCCAATTCGTCGGTCTAGTCGGCCCTTCAGGCGCCGGCAAATCCACCATCATGAACCTCGTGCAACGTCTCTACGCGCCCACATCCGGCACCATCACCATCGACGGCGTCGACCTCTCTTCCCAATCCTCCGCCAACCCCTTCCGCGACTCCGTCGCCCTCGTCCCGCAAGAAGCCGCCCTCTTCGACGGCTCCGTCAAATTCAACGTCGGTCTCGGCGCACGCCCTGGCACGGAAGCTACCGATGCCGAAATCGAAGAAGCCTGTCGTCTTGCCTCCATCCACGACGTCATCGCTTCCCTTCCCGAGGGGTACGAAACAGAATGCGGCGCTTCGGCGTCTAGATTGAGCGGTGGCCAGAGGCAGAGGCTGGCGATTGCCAGAGCGCTGGTTAGGAAGCCGAGGTTGTTGTTGTTGGATGAGAGTACCAGTGCGTTGGATGCGGCGAGCGAGGCGGCGTTGCAGGAGGGGCTGGATAAGGTTGCGAAAGATACGACGGTGTTGGCGATTACGCATAGACTGCATACGGTGCAGAAGGCGGATGTGATTTTTGTGGTGGAGGGCGGGAGGATTGTGGATAGTGGGACTCATGGCGAGTTGATGAGCAGGAGGGAGAGTTATCGGGTTAATGCTATGCAGCAGATGTTGCAGTGAGTGCCCTGGTGTTGGTTAAGGTGGTGGAGATGGGAGAGGGGGCGATGAAAGGTGGTGAATGGTTGGGGAAGGAAGAGATGGATGGATGCAATGGAAGAAAAAGAGTTATTGATGTGATACGTATTGTTGTTACGGGTTTTGAGTCATGATACCATATCCCTTAGTAGTACTATTAGCCGATTTCGTAATGTTAGTCTTGATCAAATTCCTTTCGTTTCTTTCAATGTTTTCGTTGGCGGTTTGGTGCATGATGCAAGTCACGCTTGGTATCTGCGGTAGGCGACGAGTAGCGGGGTACAAAACCCTCACTTCTTGAAATCGAGATCTTTGCCTTGTTTTCTTCCGGGACAACAGCTCTCACCATTGTCGAGAATATGAATTTACACCATCATCAATCAGTTGCATCTTCCTTGTTTTTCAGTATCATTTGAAGGGAGAGAAGAGGAAGTGGGATGTCAAACGGCTGGCAAGCGGGGCGGCCCGGTATTGAAAACACTGTTGGTGCGCGCGGCGTTCGTCAACAATGCAATCATGCCATGGCAATTTCCCGCTTTGATGGTTGTCCCGGATTTGGACGCTACGAAGTATGAATGTTTGAACACGAAGGTGAAGGGACCTGCAAGCGATGACAGCTGTTGGAGTTGTGACTGGAAACGCCGTGCACCCAAGACCCAAGTGTTTGTCACCTTCGAAAAGACATGGACCGATACTGACAAAGGGGGACCACGATCTAACTTCTTATCCGGATAAGCTTACTTATCCCTTTTTTCTGTTTGACAAAGCCATCAAAGTCATGTTGTTGGGACACCTCAAGAGATGGGCTTTTCGAGGTGGACTTTTCTTCGCAGCCGAATATCTTGTGAGGATCAACGTCTTGGAAGTTTCTCCTGTCATGACTTTTGGACCAATCGATTCACATTACCCCAGATTAACTAACGACCTTCAGAAAATCTTCAGCTGTCAATTATCTAGCAGACCGAGATCTTGTAAGAGGAAGAATCTCATTAGCCAGTACTAAATCCGGGGGACGTGGAAAAACGGTGTGTACATGGCGCTTTGAACTGAAGCACTCGTTCGCATGATCTTCCACGGATTCAAGGTTCAAGCACGAACTCGTGACGACTTCCCCAGACTCTCCCCACTGCACATCACGAGGGGGGGATTTCTTAGCATGGCCCGGGCCTCGGACACAATGCCGCCCGGACCTGGCAGACCAGCATTGCAGGAACCAGACTACCATCAAGAAATCAAGAAAAAAGTTAAAAGAACACAACATCCTGCTTTCTCTCTCCGTTTCCAAGCATCCAGCATCCAGCATCAAGAACCAAGTACCAGCCCTCGTCCATAGCCCCTCACCCAATACCTCTTCCGTACCTACTTAAATACCTACCTGCCAACCAGTTCATCGCCTCTTCACCACCTCTTCACCACCTCTCCATCCTCTCTAAACCCCAAGCCCGCCGTCAAAATGAAGTTCCTACTCATGCTCCTCACCCTCGCCGCCGGCCTCGTCGCCGCCCAAGACATCTCCGATATCCCCGCGTGCGCTCAGCCGTGCATCGCCGACGCCGTCTCCTCCGCCACCGACTGCTCGGTCACCGACTACAAATGTATCTGCATCCCGGACAACGCGCAGGCTATCGCCTCAGCTGGCGCGCCGTGCGTGGTGGAGAAGTGTGGGAGTGAGGTTGCTATTAGTACGTATTGCCTTGGTGTCTTGATGTTTCATTTGAAGTGCGGATGCTAACAAGATTGTTTGTGACTTGCAGATGTAGTCCTCCCTGCTGTTGAGAAGTTCTGTGACGAGGTTAATGCTTCCTAAAGTGGGCTTCTTGTATCTGCGTCTACCTACGAGTCTACCTATGAAGCTTGGTAGCTACGCTGTGGCCTTTGGACAAGGCAATGGACGACGAATGAGACTTCTGTGTTCGAACCGGACAAAATGTGGTGTGTGCTGTGGACGAGCTACCAGAGGAAGCAACATTGAAGAACATAACGCAAGCTGGGACAGTATTGAACTGTGGCGGTGACATTTGATGGAAATCACGTAATGAATGTAATGTTATTGATCTACCTTTCTAATCACATTATTGATCCGACGCCAATTCCTGTCGTCCCGTGATTCGTATTTCACCGAAAAGTTTTCCTCGAACTCTCTTTCCTCTTTTTGTTCTGCCATCTTGGGGTATGGTGACAAAAACCAAAGAGAACCTTGATGGCCACCGTCGGCGATAAGGCCCGATAAGATGAGGTTCCATGACGCCTGTCGGGTGCTACCCGACCTTCTTGATAAAGTCCTTGGCTGTCCTATTGGCAGCTCTTGACGCGTTTGCAACCGCGTGAAATCTCCAGGCTGTCTGAATGGCTGACTGATTTACCGACGCGAACTTCCCTTCACTTGGTCGGCGACGAGCGGGGTACAAGCCGGCGTTCTCGAGACAACGAAGCCATCTTTCCTCCCTCTTCCTCTCACCACAATCCTCTGCGACCATCAACACAGCCATCCCACCACTAGTCGGCGCCTATTTGTAGACCTGACGAGTACATCAGACAACGACCTAGCGCTGGCCTCATTTGCCTTCCGCCCACCCATCCTTCGGTCCTGTTGGCGCCCATTTGCACATACCTCGCATCTTCCCGCCTTTCCTCCCATTTGTAAGTACGTTTCGCCCCTTTCGCATAACCGCTTCAACCCACTGCCACTCCTACCTTATGGTGACGCGTCCTCACTTCTGACCATTCCTCAAGCTGACTGTAGCGCAAGCATCAAGCACGAGTAGAATCCTGATCTCGAGCTTTCAGCCCCGCCCTTTCCAGCCAGCCGTCCTCCTCCAAGCACCCGGAGAGCACATCAAGATGTTGACATCAGCGGTCTTCCTCCGAGCGGCTCCTGGCATCTCAACGACTAGGCTGCTCAGAACAGGCGCCAGAAGTAGCTACACAGCCATTGCAGGATGCAGTCTTCTTCTCCAGAGCAAGGAAAGATCATCGGTTACCTTTGCCGATAGAGTACGGAAAGACGGATCCCATACTCCGACAGTCTCACTCAGCCCCAACAACTTCGCCAGAACGTTCCACGCCAGCGCGGTATGCCGCACCTACTACGAAGGTTACGCCATGGGCTGGAGCTGCACCGGTGACGACTGCGAAGACTGCGATTGTGATTGGGATGATGGCATTGGAAAAGAACCTAGTCCCATTTGCGAGATCTGCAACGTCAACCCCACAGCACACAACCTACTCCCCACAGCACACGAGTTAGCATCCGAGGACCATGTGACCGTATGGGCCACGTATACTTCGTACTGCAAGGAATGTGCGGAAAAGAGATGGGAAGAGGAACGAAGACGAAAGGAAGCCGAAGCGAAGATTGCGGCTGCCCGGCAGAAGATTGCGGCTGCCCGCCGGGAGAGGGTGAACAAGATGCTGGAACATGTCAAGTCGCTTCCACCAGGACAGCAAGTTCCAATCGCCTATGCGATTGAGAAGGTTTCCAGCATCTGGAGCTACGAGTCAGCTGCTATGCGGCATAGAGACCTCAGAGATTTGTTGTCAGAAGAACTACAAATTGTGAAGGTGGGAACCCGATGGAAGTGTGATAAGGGACGAGTTGATGCAATGGACTTCGAATTATGGGACAGCGGTGGTGTCAGAGGTAGGGATGACTGGGGAGTATCACCTACTGTGAAATTTGAGGACAAAGACGAGGCCACGAGTGTGGAAGCACAGATCAAGTTGGCCGGGGCATACCGAGAGGACGGGCGGGAGACATGAACGGACGGGGTAGTAGGACAACCATAGGGTACCTGTACATTGATGAAGGAGAAATGTTTTGTATGATATCACTCTATCTGGAAATCCCAACGTCAGTCCGTCTCTGTCAAGGCACTCATAGGTTTTGTGTGACCGGCTCGGCTGGTTGCGCGACTGACGTTGACGTCAGACATACCTTATCTTATCGGCCTTATCGATAGGGAAATGGCCATCAAGGTTCTCACACTCTTGCCCTCGGCCTGTTGACCTCGACCATGCCTTCCTCCACTCAATGGTCAACAGGACGTCAACGAGGCAAAATACATTTGCGAGATGCAAGAGCGAGGACTGGACACATAAAAAAGCTTTAGGCAAGTCATTAATCTCGAACAAAAGCTATGTAGCTCTAATGAAAGGCGTTGTTGAACGGATTGAATCGGTAAATAACGACTCCAGATGTGTAATCGATTACGCAGTTTGTGATCGGATGTATTTGATGTAGTCGTCGAAACGGAAAGAACAATCGCAAACCTCATCGAAGACAGCAACCGGACGCACACTTGGGAAGGAAAGTACCACATACATGTAAGCTCGTGCTCTGGCTTCCTTACTCCGTGGATATCTTCTGTCATCCAAAAATCATCCGGCAAATTTTCCTCGGTTACCTTTCAACCTTCATCAAACTCCCGCTCTTCCAGTCACGTTACGTCGTTGTCGCCCGCCCGCCCGCAATGCCACCGTTAACCCCCGAGGAAAGAGCTTGGTTGGATTCCCGGACCCGTGCACATCGGTGGTGGCTCGTCCTCTGGACCTTCGCGATTGGTGCGGCCATTATTTGTGAGTCGTTCATAATGCAGTCAAATTAAACCCAAAGTTTCTATTTACCTAGTATTTATTCTGACAATTGGTGTTACCCTGGCTTTAGGTTTCTCGATTATGATAGCCCTCACTATTTGGGCACCCCCAGAGCTGCTCCGGGAAACGGAGGGAATTATGGGCTGGGCCCCCAAACTCAAACCCCTCTTCGCTTTCTCCATTATTGTTGCGAATATTTGTGCAAGGGTTAGGTCGCACATTGACGATGAAGTCATAAACTTCTACTTGGCCGCGGTAAGCCTTGACATGCCTCCAGTTTCTGACAAAAAGCAACTGCTGACATGGTGTTCAAGCGTCGCGCTCACGAAAATCGGAGACCTTGAGGTTTCCAAGGTTAGAGGGAGTCAAATGTTACCGTTGTGGTGGCACTGGCCATGTCTGTGTAAGGCTCGAGGCGGCAAAGGGACCGCCATCAAGTCTGCCGGGATCATCTTCTTCTTCTTGACTTGCGGTGCCCCTGATACTTTTGGTGCGTCTTCCTGTTTTTGCGTTTGTTGATTTCGTCGTTCTCGTTCATGGAATGTATTTAACATTAACGAGGTTCATTGTGTGACTGAACAGATGTAGTCTTCCCGGCAATTGAGAAGTTTTGCGAACAGTTTGAGAAGATCTAGGCGAGACTTCCATCTTGTTGTCCTGCTCCAGTCACGGTCTATCCAACATATCACACGTTCGGGAACTTTCACACGCATTCATAGATCTTTATTAAACCTGTCGACCGAATCTCGGAACATTTCCATGATCAAAGAATCCCTTTCAAACTCTTCCCAACATGCTTCCAGCATATAACTACAAATGCATATCACGGTTTTACAACGGCCTTTCTTAACTAAAATAAACGGTATTGGACTGTCCATGACCCATGTTTGGTTTATTCTTGTGACCAATCGGTACTGAGATGGGCCGAAACAACAAAACACAGCCAAACCAACCCATTACTACAACAAACTTGTAGAAGGGAGTAGATCAAGGCCATGCTGCACGGAGTTTTGTAGAATGGGGATAGACAGAACGTCAGACTCAGAACCAGAAAAAAAACAAAAATCACCAAGAAGGTCAAAGAGAATCTGTCAGCCTGAAGGCATCAGGAAGAAAGAAGAAAGGTCACTCCAAAAGAGTACGACGGTCATCACAATGGAGCTTGATTGGGCAGCTGCAAAGGAATGGGGAGAAATAAGCTGAATTATCTGGGGACTGATAGATATCTCTCTGAGTAACACTAACTACCGACACACACACCCAATTTACACGCACCGTCTTTTCCAAACATATAACGAGATCACTCCAAGCATGGCTATTTCTACCTTAAGGTCTGTATGGCAATTGTCTTTTATATCCTACTAGATCCCTCTGCTAAACTTTTAGTCTTCCTAAGGTACCTATGCTCTTGGTGGTTGTCCACTCAGTACCGGGACTTGTGCCTTGTTTTTCCGAGAAACTCGACAGACCTCACCGGCACAACAGGGCAGTTTCTCCAGCAACTCGGCATAGTCACAGTATTACGGCTTCTAAGATTCTGCCCATGACCGCCCTTGCGTTCTTGGGAGAAGCAGGTGAGATCTGGATGGGATTTTCCGTCCCTTTGCGGCGGATTCTGACACCGTTTTGGTGTTCGATCTATCAAGATAACTCAGCGAAGGGGAGAAGAGCAGGCAGAGAATAAATGAGACTAGAAAGCAACTAGTTGAAAATAAGATCGGACCAAGTATAATGAGAAAGGAAAATGTCTTTAGTATATGGGATAATGTCTTCGGGATATAAGGTTTTGTCGGGGGTGGATAAAACTATATACATGACTTAGCACACGATCAACATGATCAGGTATATACCCCAATGCCATAACACCCTCTAAACATTCTCATCCTCATGCTCAGCCTCCACGCCTCTCTCAACCTCCACTCTCCCCTCTCGTCGCTCCTCTGGAAACACCAAGCCCATAGTTACCTCCTTCGCAAAAACTCTCGCAACTTCAACCGGGCTCATGGTGTGCCCTTCATCAAGAACCCACCAGCCCCACCAAGTAAGAAAGAGGGTGAGGATTTGGACGACATTCGTAATTATAGCCCCAATAAAACTGAGGCGAGACCATGGCTCCGTCCCCAACCAATGACCATGACGCTCGGTTCTCTCCCCAAATTATGGGAGGCTTTGCGTTGTGTTGCTGTCAATGGCAGTAATGACGGAGACCCTCAGCGCCAACTCGTGGTACATATGGATAATATCGTCCATTGGTGAATCAAAACCCATTTTGCATGGGTTTGAGGGCTCTTTTTGGAGGTCGGGGAGTGCATTCGCGTAGCCTGCTGCGATAAAATCCCAATAGCTGGCACCCATATCCGTAGTACTATCGCCGAGGGCCCACCAGTGTGATCCACGTACGGCCCCGAATGTGGTATTGTAGAGGCTCTGCCCGATTTTGGTGAAGAGTTGGAGTCGCTCATCATGAAGAAAATAGCCTGAGAGGAGCGATTTTGTCGGAGGTAGAGGGAGTTGTATCGATGACAAATCCTCTTGGGGGTAGACGAAGTTTGAGGGCTGGGGGACATAGTGGTCCTCGCTGCGAAATACGTTAGCCTATTTCCTCTTCATGAACCCACTTCAAGTGCGGGCTAAATGGATAAGAACATTGGCCACATACGCAACATTTAGGGTCTTTCCCCTTTTATACTCTGTCATACCACCGGTGATGTTCAACGCGTACGAGACGATTGAAGGGGCGAGGGAGCACTGCCGGGTAATATATTTACCCTTGCACCCTGTAGACGACTTGAAAATAGTTTTTATGCCATTTAACTGGCCGTTCAGGAGGCCCCAGTCATCAGTGATACTGATCGAGAACATGTTCACCGGGCCGTCACTTGGGAGTTCTGATGAAAAGTCGTAATCTTGGCTCGCCAACACCGAACACGTCGGGGATCATCCGAAGCCCTACGGCAATGTCAGTTGTCTATGATCGCGAGAAACCACCATTGTGGAATGGAACTTACGGGAACAACCAAAATACAGTCATCACAAATTTCCTGGGCGAACCGGATGGGCTCTCGCGCCAACATGTCACGGTAGGCCGTCATAGCCGGGTGTGCGAGGGAGAATCTGGTCCCGAACAATGTGCCGGTGGACATGACGTCGGGAGTGATGTGAAGGTCTGTGATCCCATTGAAGGGAATTGTTGCGTCCCCTTGGTACATGGAGTGATTCCATAGCAATGGGTTTGCCCAATTGGCGAAGACAAAGACAATCGTCAATAGAGTAGGTATCAAAGTATCAGCAATGGAATGCACCAAGACCAACTCGGGTAAACGAGACAAAGTGAGCGGCACAATCACTTACACAGGGCTGTCAAGAGGGCCTTCCAGCGGAACAGAGCCTTGAAGGCTCCGAGGAGACCGGTGGTGCTCGCCCAAACGTGGTGAAGGTCGGTCAACTGGATACCGTATGAGCGTACATTCTTTCATAGAGGTAGACTGCACAGAAGAAGAAACTTACCTTCAGTCCTTGGTATGCATTGATCCAGAACCGGATCACCCCGCCCTGTCTAAACCCCATATCCGCGAAAGTCGCGGAAATCGTTGCCATATATAGGGCTATGGTCTTCGGGTCAAACCAAGTGAGCCACTTTAACACCGGATATCCGATGGCCTGGTTCCGCACAACACAATTGGTTGTGGTGCCTACAAAGCTAGAGACCAGTTGTTAGATCAGGTACTAGTGATTTCATGTGACTGGATTGCGGACTTACAAGCAATGACCGCCAGAATCAGGATCAGCATCGAGATGTATGGAAAAGTCCGGACCCCGTTGGGCACCCAAGAAGACCACGAGAACTTTATTGTGGTGGAAAGGAAGGTCGAAGAGAAAAGTTCGGATGAAAAAGGAAAAGAAAGGACAAAAAGACAAGTTCGGACAACACACAGGATGAAAAGAGCAAAGAAGATGTCAACTCCAAGTGCTCTCGAAGGGTGAAGAAGAAGAGGAAAAGAAGAGGTTGGGAGGACGGAAATGGGGTGCCTTATATACCTCTACTTGTGAAGGAGTCCGAGTGAATGGGCAAGCCCAGTCAAAGGTGTTACGACGCAGCAAGTTCGTATGAATGCAAGGAAGTAATGAGGTACTACTTGGCTACCTTACCGAAGAAGGAAAATTTTGCCCCGAGTATGTTACCCGGGACCTCCGGGCTCCGGACAGGCTGCAGTCCGCTGCTGCTTCTACATTTATGCCCGGCCGTGCCTGCACCGCTCGATGTTCGTATTTCCGCAAAATCACAGGAAGCGAGAACAGTGTACTTTCCTCCCAGAGTTAAATAGCAGGGACCACCCAACTGCTTTCATACCTCCTTCCCTTTGCTTCCTTTCTCCTTCCAACTTCAACCACCAAGCCCCCCAGTCTTTCACATCATCTCCCATCATCTCCGAAGTTGCTACCATGAGGTTTCTTCCCACCGTTACTGCTCTTACAGGCGCTGCCCTTACCGGCGCTACTCCTACCGGCCTCCCTACTGCCCAACTTGATTTATCCAAGTACAACCTCTCCGACTGTACCGAAACTTACTTGCCTTATATCGCGAGGGTAATGACCGGAATCGAGTATGACGAGGAGCGAAAGTATGCGTACTGCGTCGTCACCACCAGCAACGATACCTTCTTCGACTACAAATGCTTGTGTAGGGGGGGTGACGGCGAGGGGTCAGCAATTATGGACAAGGCGCTTTTAGACGGCCAGGTTTGGCTTAATTGTGGGTGGGATTACACCTTCGGTACGTCTTCGTGTCATCGTGCATTCCTGGCTTGCAAGATTTTTTGCGCAAAACAATCGAACCAAACCATGTCCAGGTAAACTAACGAGACTCATTCGAACTAAACAGATGTGGTCTTCCCCGAGACGATAAATTTCTGCCGCACGCTGTTGAAGGAAGACCTCGTCACTGCCACTACTCGTCGGAGTCGTCGGGCTTTGAAGCAGCCACCCCCCCAGCCGAATATTGGCCTCGTTGCTGCCGAAGAATTGCCCGACACAAGGGTACAAGCCGAATAACGTATCAGGACGGGGTACGGAGGAAAATACGGGGATGTCCATCATGATGCTGATAGAATGTGTGTCGAAACTTGGACATTTGGACGTCTGCTAGCTGCAAAAGGAATACTGGTACCATGGCTGGCACCGAGAACAATGGCGACAAAACACCTGAGCTGAACTCCAGTGGGGGTATCATCATCAAATGAAGGCCTTACTGTACAAATGGCTGGCCTTTTCCAGCTGATTAAACGATCGTTTGACAATACCAGACGTGTATTGTACCATGGAAACGGTGGAGTGTCAGGAGTGTTTGGTGTAATCTACTTTTTGTTACGAGTTTTCGAGCCGGTACAAGGAAAGAACCATCGGAAAACCATCGGGCCTTCATCCAAGACGGCAACTTGAGGACACAAGTTGGGAAGGAAAGAACCACACCAGTCTGTGCCCTGGTGCCCAATCACCGCCTGGATTTCCCACTTGCTGGTCCTCTGTCTTCAGTATTTAAAACAGCCCTGTTTTCCATCTTCCCCGTCTCCTCTTCTTCCCTTTTCTTCTCGTGAGAACTACAGAGTCCATCACTGACATCTTCTGCCGTCACCTTTCGCAAGAACCAAACCACGCCGATACAGCCACTATTACTGGCCGCCTCTTCTCCCATCTGTTTCTCGTGAGCACTATAGAGTCGACCGCCGATTTGTTCTGCCGTCGCCCTTCGTTGTACCATGCCGCCCCCTTCCACTTCGCGCGCTATGGCAAGCTTGCCATGGAAAACTGGTGTCCGGCGCACTCCGGTGCTGTCGGTTGTCCTGTTGCTTCTAACTTGTCTCCGTAAGTCCTCAATCCAGTCCCAACAAAATCATTAGTCCCCAGTCTAACAACTGGCCTCTGGCTTTAGTCGTCGGCTTCGAACTTGCCATCATTTTCATGGTCAACGGAAAGCCGCGCGCGGAAGCGCCCAAGCTTCCATATATCAGTTACGTACTGAACGTGTACAACTTGCTCTCTCTCGGATCAACGTCGTGCACCACCATGATGAACTGGGCGTTCCAAGAAGCCGTCATTATAAACTTCTGGGTGACCTTGGTCGACGAAGGGATGACTACGTCTGGATGGGTTCAACCAGTTGTATCAACGCTGTCAAGGCCATACACCACCGGAAGGCCGTTTTAGTTGACCGAACTCAATCACATCTGGGCCAGTAGTACCAGTTTCTGGGAAGCCGTCAAGGCTCTGTTCCGCTGGAAGGCCCTCCGGACAGCCCTGTGTAAGTAACTGTGTCGCTTACTTTGTTCCGTCTACCTGAGTTTGTCTTGGTGCATTACTGATACTTTGATGCTCTAGTGACGATTGTTTTCACCCTCGCAAATGCGATCAACCCGATTCTCTACCACGTTCCAGGGGGGCGAGCCAGTATCGAAGGCGTACCGGGAGTTCCTAGACAACAAACCCATTCAATTCCCGGAACTCAACCTCACCAATTTGCTCTGTCGCATCCACATCTTGCACAAGCATGATGAACGCCGCCTTCCAACAAACAGCCATCATCGTGAGCACTAATACAGAGTTATCCTTCGCCAGGGAACGATTTCGACAGCCGCGTTTGTTGCTTCTTTTTTTTTTCTTTCCATTTCTCCTAATTTCCTATCTCCATTCCTTCTTTTCTTCTTTCCTTGCCCTTCTTCGACGCCAAGCACCACGATGAAGTTCTCTTTGCCTGGTTGGCCTCCTTGGGTCCCCAACGGGGTCCGGCTTTTCCCCTGGCTGTCGTTCTGCTCAATTCTGGTGGGCATTGCCAGTGAGTTCGCAATCTAGTCACATAAAGTCATTCGTACCTCGTCTCACAACTGATCTCTGGCTTCATGTTTAGGCCTCGTAAGCAATGCGATTTGGCGCCACAAGGCTATTGGGCACCCGGTCTCGGCCTGGTCCCTTTGGTTCGATCCCCAGATGCTCCTCTCTGGGACCAGCACTATCTGCGGGGCTATTATAACTTTCGGTTATAAAGAAGGAGCGAAGATATCCTTCTGGGTGCGCGCACTCAAAGGGATGACAGTAAGTTTCTTCTTCTATGCAGTCCAATAAAGAATGCACGCTTATACGGTATTCAGTGAAGCGACCCATTTACTCCAACGAGCAACTCGACATAATGCAACTATTTCTTCCGATGAACCGACCTCTCCTCCCTTCCCTTCCTCACGATGAGCGGCTGGAGCTGTTCACCGACATAGGCCAAAGCCTATTCAACACCTTTCGACTCACCTATGACCGACATCCTCCAGATAGCACTAGTACAGAGTCCTCCTTCGTGTCATAACGGTTTTCCACGGCCGCTTTCGTTTGGTTCCTTTTTGCTTGTCTTTCCCCCCGATTTCCTTTTTTTCCTTTTTCTGCTTCTTTCTTTCTTCGTCGTCATGAACCACACATCGCAGAAGCACCAAAATGCACTCGATGGTATTGTCCCCAACAAGGTAGAAAGTGAAAATAACGTGAAGGTGTCACTTACCGCCGGGTTGTCGTGAAGGTCGGCCAAGAGGCCCTTCAACACCAGGGAGTTCCGGTCCTTTCCCTGGACCTGGTTGTTACTCCCGCTTCTGGCGATCGTTGCTTGTGAGTCCGCAATCCAGTCACATGAAATCATTGGTACCTGATCTAACAATTGGTCTCTGGCTTTAGGTATGACGGCCAACAACATCGTGCGGAATCAGGCCATCAACCAACCAACATCCAAATGGCCTTGCGCTCTTCAGTCTCTGCGGCTAGGCTGTACTTGAGCCGTAGCTCACGATGCTCTTCTGGGCTGTTTAGCGTACGGTCCCAGTACTGCTTCTTGTTCCACGCGCTTTTCTTGGCTGCCATGGCTTGCCAGCGCTCCGGGTACATCAGCTTCATCATGTTCCTGGCTGGACCCTCGGACGATTGTGTTGCAGGTCGCTACGATCTGCGCGCTTGGGGCGGATATGGGGTTCAGGGACGGAAGTGTGGTCCGCTTCTGGATCAATGCTTACCAGGGAGTACTTCTGGCCCTTCTTCCACTACATCCAGTCATGAAGCTACCTCTACCGTGGAACACCAGGGAGATCCGGTCCTTTCCCTGAGTCTCGCTGCTGGTCCCGATTCTGGCGGCTATTGCTTGTGAGTCCGCGATCCAGTCACATGAAATCCTCCCATATTGCGGGGAGAGGATTGAGCATTAGTGGTTGGCGGAGGAGACCTGGTCTCGCGTCTGTTACAATGGGGCCATGGTCACCAATGTTGTTGTCTTCCTGTGCCTTGTCTTGATGCGTTGGGCTGGTGGGTGCTTGATAAGGAGGTTACGATGAGCCCCCTTGAGATTGCGAAGACTTTTGGGAGAGAGGTGGGGCTGGGTTTAGTCCAACAGGAGCAGCAGGAGAGTATAGAAGCTGAGAGGGGGGTGGAAGCCGAGAGTGGCGGAATATTCGATGAGCCCATTTGAGCTGTTGAATGCCTTGGCCCATCGCGCCCACAATTCTCCCTGGCGCGCCCGGTCATGACGGCCTATCGGGATATGTTGGCTAGGAGGTAATATTTTACACATCTAGTATCGTTGATATGCTATCCTGTCGGTTCAATAAAGATTTTCATCTTTTCTATATGGCCTCTAGTCCGTTTGATCGGGCTTGTTATCCCATCCAACCTTGTTCATGCGTGGTTGGCAAATCGTCAACATAGCATGTTGCAGGTTTGTTGGGGCATCTTGAACGTTACAAAGGGCCTGGCCTGGATCAGCAACCTGTATGCGATTGTAGCAGTCCACCAGCGGCAAGCCGTATGGGGATCGAACTCAACTTGGAGAGATGAGAGCTTGTCAAGGAACCACAGGAGGGTTGATATGTCCAAAATGAAAGGGAGAGTACGTCAGCTCGGTCAGGTACCTTTCAGGGGAGAGAAAGCTCAGAGATAGCAGATGGTGTCTGTGTCGGTAGTTTTGGTTGTCGTGAGAATCAATATTGTTGCAGGTCAGGCTAGGTCAAGCATGATGAATCCCACGTGTTGTATGTGAAGCTCATGCATTGCAAGACGGGAGTCAGGGGCACGGGAGTTTAAGCGATAACTCGGACGACGATCCGGAAGGGTTTCGGGCTGGATGGAGTGGTTGGGACACGGAGACCGGGAGTGGAGAATGTCAATTCTCCAATACCGTGCTGCGAGGGGGTGGGTGCAGGGATCGGTCAGTTGACTGTCAATTGACCGTTGAAATTTTCAGACGTTTACCGAATGGTAAACCATCCAAGTCCAGTACAGAAATTTACAAACTTTTATATAGGGAAACGATAAAACCCCGCCAAACGTCCAAAAATGCAAACGTCTGAGCCAAAAACCCAGTACCCCAAGGCCTTATTCTATAGTGCAAAAGGATGGTGCACCTTTTTGGTGCTTCTTTTTCTTCTTCTTGGCGGTGCTTCTTTTTCTTCTTCTTCTTGGTGATGCATCTTCTTGGTGGTGATGCATCTTCTTGGTGGTAATGCATCTTCTTGGTGTTTGGACTCAACTTTCAAATTGGAACATCACGAAAAACATTGCACGGTTAGGATTCGAATGTAGGACTTGGGTAAAAGATTAATTTCTATCTGCGCGCGAGACTACTTGGCCAAAAGACCTTTTCTATCTAATCGAAGAAGGTATTCGAAGGTAAAACTTATAGATGGGAAAGTGTTCCCTCTTTTAACCTTTGGCGGAAGGTAGATATCTAATCCTAAACGTCCAAGAATTCCTAAACGTTTACTAAAGACAACCGTCATTTGACTGTTGGCGCCGTATAGGCGTCCTAATATTTCAACGTCTATAATTTTTAACGTTATTTTCATTTCAACGGTCAAATAAACGTTTTCAAATTCCGGACGGTCAATTGACCGCTTCCTGCACCCACCCCCTCGCAGTACGGTACCTCTGCTGCTTGCTTTGGGGCTTGGGTAGGAAAGACCGTTGCGGAACTGCCACTGTTATATGCCTTGTGATAGAGGTAAGCTGGAAACAGATCGGTCAGACTCGCCCGGGATTCCTTGACCCGGGAGATGTCTGAAATTCGGCCCAAAGGTGTAGTAAAGACGGGACGCATAGGATTCATGGAAAGGTAATCGTCGGTACTAGAAGTGTGCAAAGGGATTGATGCTTCGAATGGCGACGAGTATACCGAAGGTGTTGATGTATTGCATCGTGATCTGTCCGGTTCATTCTTAGGACTGTTCGCCTGGCTAATCAAGCACATACGACCATAGATGGTAGAAAACTCGGGATCCCGTCCGCTCTCCCATAGATAATCTTCCAATCGGAGGCTTGTCTATGGGAGGAGGTTTTGACAGGGGTTTGGATGACTGAGCTACACCTCTGCCAGGATATGAATGTTAAAGGCGAGTACGTCGATCCTACAGAAAGTAGGGGAACAGAGGTTAGCGGTTGGGCACTTTTCTGTAAGTGCTACGCTGTGACAAAGTTAAAAATTAACCTTTCATACGCCGGCGTTTCTAGAAGCGTTTTCATCCCATCACTCACGCCAAGCTCACCAAATACACCCTTTCCACCTACTCACGCCAAGCGCGGCTAAGGCTATGAGGCGGGCTAGCACATTGAAGGTTAATTCTAAATTAGGCTTCAATACCATGGTTCTATAGGAGCACACAGTGACTAGGTGTCCGTTTTTACGAACTTCCCAGGTAACTTGACTAAGTTGGAGTGGACGTTTGTACCCGTTGTGCCCATCTAGCACCGTCGCACACTTGGGTGAAGCTGCATCTTTCAACCTCAGCGCATCGACAGCCGATACAAAATCCAGGCCGACGATGAAAAATACTCAACCATTATTCCCTTTGCCCTTACTGCAACATCCCTCAGCTACGCTCGCAGGACGATGGATTGGGAGCCGTCCTTCTCGCGATTAAAACGTCCCCGCCAACACTACGAAGCGTAAGAACCCAAAATATTTGGGCAGGCGAGTCCGACTAGAACCTAAGAATTTAGGCCTATAGCCCACTCCACCGCGCAATAGATCACAAGTGTTCCTCACTTTATCCTCCAGCGGCAGGGGCGTAAAGTTGTAGAACACTGTCCTGTTCTGGGCTATCACAACCAAGTTCAAAGCCGCAGGCGGAATTCTGAACCGGAAATGTCGGAGTGGCAGTAACGACCATTCACAAGACTGAGCTTCTTCCCATCAGTCAGCATGGTTAATCCAGAAAGAGGGATAGCATTTTGACACCCATACGAGCCGAATTACTACCTAGTGTGAAGTCAGTCTTGGAGTACCTTCAGCACCCAGTCGGTGGTACAAAGCCGCATATTAAACCGCGATCCCCCGCATCTAGACTAGGGAAGACCATGTAACTGTGGCGACGCTACTACAAGTGTGTTGGCTCTCCCAAACACCACCAAGGAAGAGACCACTTATCCGATCGAGGAGAATCGAGGCTTCTACCATTGTACCAACTTTGGCCATGACTGGGCAGTCACGGGTTAATCCCGTAGCATCTGGACCGCACAGGCACCCGCAAAAGGAGAGTCAAGGGATGGAATAGTCTTGCTTCTTTGTAATGGAATACGTCATCTTGACAACAGTAGAGGGTACCAGAATTTACACAATTCCTATAAATTTGCCTATCCTCCCAGACCCTTCTGGTGGCACGCTAGAAAAATGAAATAGAGAGAAAGGAATTGAGAACGACATGGAACACATTATATGTCTTGCGAGAAACCAATAAACCAAACCAGTCTTGATACGCTGCCGATGGATATCATCCGTCCCTGGAGGTCACAACTAGATGGTCGGTAATTCGGTGGCAGCCAGAGTACGTTCTGGCCGTTGCAAGTAATCCAAGAACTATCCTGTTCCAAGCCGTAGCCAGAGCTCTCTGAATTATCAAGTACAACTTGGCTTTCAGTAGTTTCTGTATCTATTTTAATACGTCCAACGTTGGTATGTAGGTAGCGATTAGTAGGGTCAAACGAGATATCGGTCATCATAGTACTAGTAGGAATCGTCTGGAGGCAGCTCCCCGACGCCGGATCCCAGATCTTGATCGTGTTGTCCTCCGAACCGGACGCAAGCCGCTGGCCATCAGGCGAGAATGCCACTGAGAGAACGGAGTAGCTATGGCCTTTTAGGGTCTGGAGGCAGCTCCCCGACACCGGATCCCAGATCTTGATCGTCTTGTCCCCCGAACCGGACGCAAGCCGCTGGCCATCAGGCGAGAATGCCACTGAGCGAACGGAGTAGCTATGGCCTTGTAGGGTCTGGAGGCAGCTCCTCGACACTGGATCCCAGATCTTGATCGTGTCGTCCCATGAACCGGACGCAAGCCGCTGGCCATCAGGCGAGAATGCCACTGAGAGAACGGAGTAGATATGGCCTTTTAGGGTCTGGAGGCAGCTCCTCGACACCGGATCCCAGATCTTGATCGTTTTGTCCTCCGAACCGGACGCAAGCCGCTGGCCATCAGGCGAGAATGCCACTGAGAGAACGGAGTCGCTATGGCCTTTTAGGGTCTGGAGGCAGCTCCCCGATGCCGGATCCCAGATCTTGATCGTCTTGTCCCCCGAACCGGACGCAAGCCGCTGGCCATCAGGCGAGAATGCCACTGAGCGAACGGAGTCGCTATGGCCTTTTAGGGTCTGGAGGCAGCTCCCCGATGCCGGATCCCAGATCTTGATCGTGTTGTCCTCTGAACCGGACGCAAGCCGCTGGCCATCAGGCGAGAATGCCACTGAGCGAACGGAGTCGCTATGGCCTTTTAGGGTCTGGAGGCAGCTCCTCGACACCGGATCCCAGATCTTGATCGTGTTGTCCCATGAACCGGACGCAAGCCGCTGGCCATCAGGCGAGAATGCCACTGAGCGAACGGAGTCGCTATGGCCTTTTAGGGTCTGGAGGCAGCTCCCCGATGCCGGATCCCAGATCTTGATCGTTTTGTCCCCCGAACCGGACGCAAGCCGCTGGCCATCAGGCGAGAATGCCACTGAGCGAACGGAGTCGCTATGGCCTTTTAGGGTCTGGAGGCAGCTCCCCGATGCCGGATCCCAGATCTTGATCGTCTTGTCCTCCGAACCGGACGCAAGCCGCTGGCCATCAGGCGAGAATGCCACTGAGCGAACGGAGTAGCTATGGCCTTTTAGGGTCTGGAGGCAGCTCCCCGACGCCGGATCCCAGATCTTGATCGTGCGGTCATCCGACGAACCGGACGCAAGCCGCTGGCCATCAGGCGAGAAGGCCACTGAGCAAACGTGGCCGCTATGATGGCCTTCTAGGGTCTGGAGGCAGCTCCCCGACACCGGATCCCAGATCTTGATCGTCTTGTCCCCCGAACCGGACGCAAGCCGCTGGCCATCAGGCGAGAATGCCACTGAGAGAACGGAGTAGCTATGGCCTTTTAGGGTCTGGAGGCAGCTCCCCGATGCCGGATCCCAGATCTTGATCGTGTTGTCCTCCGAACCGGACGCAAGCCGCTGGCCATCAGGCGAGAATGCCACTGAGCGAACGGAGTAGCTATGGCCTTCTAGGGTCTGGAGGCATGCATTCCAATCCAATTCCACAGCCGGCTTAGTTCGAATCCATTTAGGTTCTTCTGCCCTGAAATTCCTCCTTATCAAGCTACCGCTTGGAGCAAATACAAGCGGTGATATGTATGTTTGAAGGGGAGCTTGCTCTATTATTGACTTATAAGATAGAGCAAACCGGTAAGCATCCCAAACAAGCTTTGATAACTGCGATTGATTATTACCTCCCTATATCTTTAGTTAGACCAAGTTCCTAGTGCGGAGTTAGACTTGTACTTACTAGCAGGCCCTCGAGCTTTCTAATGGCAACAACGCCCACAGGCATAGCTTGGAGTAGACTTAGAGCTTCCAGCCAGTAAAGGTACTTCGTCTTGAGGAATGTATAAACAACCCCGTTATCCTGTAAACGATCATGCGAGATCCAAGCCCAGGAAGGCATCTCGGGATTGCCGGTAAACCCATGGGGTGGTCCCCCGACCAGCGGCAACTCGACCCCTCTTCGAGAGAACATCCCGGAGTCGCTCACCGACGGCTTCCTGGACTTCACCCAGTTGCCCACTCTGGACAGCTTGCCCCAGACTCGGCGTGCTCGTGCCGGCACCGTACCGTCTAGATTCCCTGCCGGTGCCGGGGTCAATAGCCGTTTTGTGTTCGTGCCAGAAACCGAGTCACACAAGTGATCAACCCAGTAGATGCACGAGTACCGCACTGTCGCTAGCGGGTCCGGATCCGGTACTTGGATCTTGTCGCTCGGAAATCCCGGTGCCCTTAAGTTGTATATATCGCGTTGCAGTGTTGTAGACATGGCTTTAAGTGACCTCAAGAAGATGGTATAGTTCACATCTTCTTTCCCAGAAGGAAAAATCCACTTGAACGCCTCCTGAGAAACTTGGTTGCCAGCTTTATCAGAGGCATTGCCAAGTAAAAAGTCCTTGGCGGATTGGTGGACGAAATAAACAGTCTGGTCTCGAAGAGTCAAAAACGAGCCGCAAAGCCCTATAAGCTCTTCCAGGGACTGTGGATCATCTAAGATATTGTCTAACATCTCGACGAGAGTGGTCAGTTCTTGAAGGCTGATGGGTCGGCGAACGATAGAGGAGACGGCAAGAATTTGCCTGCACAGATCTGCATAATCGGACTGAATAATCTGCTCTATCATCCGCGCATAGAGAGAATCCAACCCGGGGGGGAATGCCCGTAACTTTGTTAGTGTCTCCCACCTCCGAACGCTCGGGTCCGCAAGTACTTGGCAGACCAAGGCCACCCAGAGAAAAGTCCCATTCGCGTTAGAAGAGAGATAGTCATGTACCTCCGTCTGCATTTTGCTGTCGTACTGTTTCCGCTGCGACAAGTGAAGGACTTTGTGGCGGATATATGCACTGACGGCAGTGTTGACAGATTCGGCGTTTAGCTCGAGGCTGAGTCTGGACTGCTGCGCGACGATCGCCAACTGTTCTTCGATCTGCACTTCGTTGCGACTAGATACAAGCCACTTGACACGAGCAGACACAGATGATATCTGAACGATCAACTTGAGAAGCTGCGGTTGGTCTGTCACACATTCGTCCAGAGCATCAATCACCAGATAGGTGACCTTCAAGTTCGGGTCTTCTAGCATCTCGCATAAAACCTTAGACAGGACGATCCATGCCATTGCGTCATCGGAGGGGTATGTGTTCTCCGGTAGATATGAAAGCAGGCGTGGTTGCTGGTGGGCAAGTAGGTAGATTAAGCCTCGTAGCACGGCAATTGCGTTATTAATGCGTAAGTCGGTAGCTTGGCAGAAGAAATACGCCAAGTTGCCGCCGTCAGCGATAACACGCCGCTCTAGCTCGTCGATGATACCGCATAGCAACATGGTCTTGCCCTTGCCTGGATCTCCCTTGACCCAGAGCAGGCGACTCTCCCGCAGCTGGCGCCATCGGTTGAAGTCGGGATTGTCGAAGACCCAGCGGTAAGCATCAGCCAGCAGACCACCCTTCGCCAGCTCGATCCGCTCCTTTTCGACGTGCGGGTCACGCGGGTCTGTGGGCCATAATTTTGCCAGACAGAGGTAATCCTCGTGAACCTTGTCCTGCAGCCGCTTCAATGCTTTCTGCCTTCCTTCGCCGTAGAGAACCGGCATGTGCACATCGAAGATGCCAAATAGAGAGTACACCTTGTCTTCCTCGCGTGTTGTGTCACGCTTCTCGATCCATCGCATCCGTTCGGCGACGCTGAAATCAGATAGAGGGACACCTTGGAAGGCTTTTCGCGGAATTCCGGTTATATCGTGGATTTCTTGTTCCAGAGACTCCTTATCTCCCAGGCGCTCGCCCTCTTTAGAGAAGAATTCGACGATCGTTGGGGCAATGAGCTCTTGGAGGGTCCATCCTCGGGAAAACCATCTGCTCTCTCGAAAGGCCGGTTGCCAACCGGGGCCGTCGCCGTGCTGATGGGTTGAGACGTCTGCTAGGTAGACGTAACATTTCACCGCGCTGCGGTACCAATGGAACATGGAGTTGAGAGCGTGCTGAAGCTCGGCGCTGTCAGACTTGTCGATGCAGCATGTGTCGACCCAGAAGAATTTCAACCCATCGCGCCAGGCTTGGTCTCCGCAAAAACGAATCTTAGCGTAGCTTGCTTTGTTCTTGCCTGTACCGTCCCTCATGTCTCCGAAGAGGACCTCTTCGGGACCCCATGTGTGTGAAAGTATCGCATACGGTGGAATCTTGTTGTTGGGGAGGTCCTCCGTCAGACGGACCCCGCCGGTATCGTCACGCTCCAGGAGTCGCATTTCAGAGTCCGCCAGGCTCAGCTCCCTCGGCAGCTAATCATACAAATGTTTGATGGTGGGAAAAGGCTCGCAGGCTTCGCGAGCGGACGGCTTATGTTCGCGGGACTGTAGGTATAGTAAATCAGCAGTTGAAACTGGGGGAGTTGCTCGACAGACGAGAACTACTTACCATAAGTAACGGACAAAATTCGTAGCGTATGTCTCGGTGGGTTTGCTTGGGAGCCTTAAAGGTAGTTGCTGTTGTCGTCTTTGTTTCAAGGCGCTGCCTTTGCCTGGATCACCAACCCCGCACGCTGCGCATTTTGTCTGCGTTAGCGCCTGGAGAACAGGAGCCAACCGCGCATAATTCGAAGCATCGTCATTGGCGGTGTTAGTCGCGCGACACTCAGTCACAGCCTTGCCAGAGAGGTAAGGTGGGAATTCAGGACGAGCGCATGGGAAATACATGGATGCTATTGTCTGGATAGGCGAAGAAAGGGAATTGGGCTGGGAAGGAGAAATGCCAAGCCTGCCCTGGAAGAGTTACAGGGTACATGCCGACAAGACGTCAGCAAGTTAGAAGTGGGCAAATGTCGGCCGTTTTTGGCGTCGTGCTGTACCTTTAATGTTTCTCAAGTATAGCTGGTCCGTGCCCAAACACTTTGAAAGAGTGCAGAGCGGACGCCAATTTCGCTCCTAGCTGTAACGAACTTGCCCAACTTGTCCATATCGTGCATGAGCTTCCTCCTCACTACAATCGCATTCGAAATCGGCTTCCAGTTTTGTCGGGTCGCCCACAATTCTCAGCGCACAGACCTTTACGGCTTGGCGCTGACACGGGACAAGTAACAATTGCGAAGTGCTTACTAGGCCGAACCAAAAGTCGACAGTCATTAGTATTCTCGTACGTACCATGCATTACTACAGGCCGCTGGCGGAAGAGGACGATTCTCGACTGACGTCGAAGCATGCGCTCGCGAGTGCCTATCTCTCTGACAGACGGATCAAGGAGGCCATCGAGATGCTTGAGCACGTGGTGACGGTGTGGAAGAGGACGCTGGCGGAAGACGACCATTCTCGACTGACGTCAAAGCACGAGCTAGCTAAGGCTTATCTCGATGACAGACGGATCAAGGAGGCTTATTTTCCAGCAGGTTTTGCACAGACTGGAAGCTCTCCTTCCCAACTATGATGTTGTCCGGCCTCGGGATGTGTTCGGTCAGGCTGCAGTACCAGTCCATCCTCGAGATGACATGGGTGATGCCGGCATTAGGACACCACGAACCACAGCACAAACTGCTTGTCACTCACAACCTTTATAAACTCTGGAAGTGAAAGACCACGGGCCTCTGGCGGGGGCGACGCAGCCCAAGTGGCCTCGAAGGAAATGTCAACAAAGTCGACACCCAGGATGGATCCCATTTTATCGGCGAATTCCCGCGCGGTGTTGACTTGTCGTGCGTCAATGATAGTCCAGAAGTCAGTGGCCCATATAATGGAGGTGAATGGCTGCCAAAAAGAATTAGTGCAAGTTCGTCAGGCAAGGCAGAATACGAGCCTGTCTGCCTCGTTGACAGGGCCCGGGGCTATACCTTCGGCTCCGTCTCCATTTTCCCCACATCTAGCCATTGCGTAGCGAATTCTATGCATCGCTGCAGATCCCTTCCCACGAGACCTGCCGTGTCCCATTCCCTGAATCCCTGCTAGTCAGCCCTACGCTTCCAAACATCTGATGTCGTACATGATAACTGACTTGCAGAACGGTTCGATTCCCTCTCCACTGACGGCGCCCAGAGTGGACGCAGGCCGAAGCAACCGTACCAGAGTGCCGGTCTAGTGACGCTACCCCAGGCTATCGTTCACGGATTAGGTTCATTTTCGTCCAGTTCTTGGACTACTCTACCATGCGTAGGGGATTTGGAGCACCTACTGTCTGTCCCGATAGCAATATCAAGCCAGTCATATGCCGCAACAGCCACCGCACTGCCGGAACTACTTCCCCCCATAGACTGATATTGATCGCCACGTGGGTTCCAGGGGGCTTGATAGTCAACGTACTCGATTGGCTCCTCCCAGTTGGCAAATGAGTTCATCTTTGTCTTGCCGGCTATTATCGCCCCCTTGTCAACTAACTTTTGGATGCATGCTGCATTCTTGGTGCAGGCGTCATAGGTGTCATAATATGCCCTATTTCCTTGAGAAGTCTTCGTTCTTTGTAAATTGATGTTGTCCTTGACAAGTATTCTTCACCCAGCAAGAGATTCTGACGGGGGCTCATGGCCGGTTCCTGACTTGATCCTGGATGGAAGAGCAAAGCTCGGGAACTGATAGCTTGAATCGATCCAACGGAGGGGCTGAAAGGGCTCGAATGGGTTAGAGTATTTCTGATTGTCAGCAACAAGTTCATCTATGCAGCATTGCACACCCACAGGTTCTGGGAATGAACTCACTTAGACTTGGGTGCTACCGTCACCATGCACGTACCATATGTGTCGTCTTCCAGTTTCCACACATCTCGCATCTGATGCCCTGTCATGTAATACGGTCCTGGCGGGAGATCGGCAACACCCGAGCATAGCACTATGCCGCGGGCCCCCAGTTTGGTGAGATACTGCTTTGCCTTTGGAGTGATTCTTGGCTTCCGCTTGCCCCCACCATTAAAAACAACGGTGGCTAGAAAGGCCTGGTCGAAGACATCATCAACCATTTCGTAATCCTTCAAAGCTTTCTGGATCCAGCTCAGTCTTACTGTTGAGCGAGCATCTTTACCAGAAGATGGAACCGAAAAGACCGTAGCGAGACCATAGCGAGTGAATTTTCTCGTGATCTTGTCGATACTGCTGGAAGGAAGGAGTCGGCATGAAAAGGGAGCGACCACATAGAGCGCAGCTCCTACTTTGAACGTCCTTCCATACTCAGAGCCTGTCGTAAACTCCTCCCCCTTTCCAACGTCGGAATGCTCAGAATCTCCAACCCCCTTACTCCAAGGTAACCTGCAAATGAGCTTTGCCATTGGGAATGGATGGGTCTGTACCCGTGTGACTAGAGGGATCGTTTAACAGCTTTAACGCACGGATTGTTAGTGATGTTGTTGGAGGCTGGAAAGGCGACGACAGAAAAGGTGTGAACAGGCTGAACGGCAACGAACTAATCAATGATGATGGTGATGTCTTGAGTAGAGTGAGTAGAGGTCAGACTGTGTGTGAAGTCTGGAGGTCTGAAAGTAGGGGAAGGGAGGTCCCTGTGCGGTGGGGCCATGGCCAGTGAAGGGAGAAGGGAGCCATGGCTGGCCGCACGTGACACGGGACACCTCCAACAAAAGGGCTGTGATTCTGTGGTGATAACGGAAGAGAAAAAACTGAAACCAGGGCAGGCGAAATACCCAGGAAGGGAGTGCCGGTGAATAGGAAGCGCGTTGAATGGAAGCACGTTGAATGGGCGCCCAGGGTACCGACTTCCACCAGATGAAAAGTCGCAAATTCCAAGCCCACCGTGACGAGGAGGAGGGGGATGAGGGACAGGATGAGGAGCAGGATGGATCCCACCCACTGCAATCTCAGCGACAAGAGCAACAACCACGGAAAATTATAACCGACGTCTTCAAGAAAAACCTCGCAGCTAAAAACGTCTTGGGTTACAAGGAATCAACAAGCGGCGTGGTCATTGCCAATGGAAGCTATCCTACTACCACTGCCGATACCACAACAACTGGAAATAAGGACAAGAGCAGCGGCTTGTTTGCTACGTCCTCCAAGTCTAAAGTGGTGATTGCCCGTGGGAGTTGGGCTATTCCCAGTGACAAGTCGTCCAAGAACCAGAAGACTGTCTAAAAACTAGGGGGAGAATATCCACGTCATCGCCCTTTGTCGTCGTCGATGAGGGAAGATAGAGAAAGGAAGAGCAAGTTAGAGGAAGGAAAAGTGAAGAAGAAGAAGGAAGAGGATATTCATAGGAAGACAGGGGGTTGAAGGCAGGGGAAGAAAGTAGTCCGTCAGCCTTTATTACGCCAAGATACTTAGCACACATCATGGGAATAGCACGGCAACCTACAATATGGGGACCCTGGACATGTGTTACCGGAGCTGTTTGGTATAGGCCAGTACTCCGGAATGTGGCCGGCGTGACGCCAGAAGAGTCTTTTTGGGAAATCCCCGTTCCCTTGAGGCTCTCCTTCGGTCACCATCTCCTTGTCTGGTCTGGTGTAATTGTTTACCCTAACTGGTTGCTATTACACTAGAAACGATAGTCCGGAAGGACGCCAGTGACAATGGAAAAGAGATAAAGATAGGGGAATGACGTTTAATGGATTGTGCACCCTCTAGCGGCGGAAAGGTGGAGGGATCTTCGTAGCGCCGCACCTGGCATCAAGCCTGATGTCAGCGTGCCACATCAACGTTTCGTCTTTCAAGGATCAAATGCAGCTTTGATGCTGCAATGGAGGACATGCCAAAAAGGCAACCAGAGGGTTCACTTCGGGTGGCGTTTGTTTTGATATCAAGGCTTCCAGCCTCGCTTCGGGAGGCGGGGGTGCTGACACGGGCCCCCACCCAGGCTTAAAGCCATCCCACCCTAGCTGCCGGCTTCTGATCCTAGAGCTGTGGTTGGCTTGTCGCTTTCAACGCCGCCGTCACTCTGTTTCGCAGCCCTGGCACGCAGCTCTCTTAGCCAATCGACTCGTCTACAAAGGTATTGGCGGCTACGCCGGCAGTGTGTTGCAAGCCAACTACTATGGTTATGATATGCCAGGATGGAAGGGAAGAGGTAGGCTGATGCAGGCAGATGAAGAAGGTAGGTTAAGGCAGGTACATGAAGGAGGTCCATCGTGATCAGTTTGTCGTAGTGGATCACCAAACCGTGATCCAACAAGACAAGAGCGAGAGATTATCATTCTGGGGTCAAACACACCAAATACCTAGCTACTCTAACCCCACCCCCTTCTCTGGCTGCTGGCTTTTCTCGCTTGCAGGCCCTATCAATGTTTGAGATATAGAGTATAGGTATCAAGCCCGGCATGCTTGTTTTGTGGGGTAACATCCCTTTCTTCTTTGCGGTTGAGGAACCCTAACCCTAGTTCCGGCTCAGCCGGAACTAGGGTTAGGGTTCCAACCGCCATATCTAGAAACACAGCTCCCCACAATCACTATCGGCTACATTTCCGCACCTCTCGATTATTAAGATTGTCTGTCAGAGGTGGAAGGATATGAACCGAGTCTTTTGATCACATGGTAAAGTCAAAAAACGGGGCGACGACCTCCCGTATCAATATGCTTAATTCCCGTCAAGAACGGAGGAATTATGGTGAGTGTCGAGCTGACGCCGAAAGGTTCAATATAATTGGGCATATTACAAGACGAATTGACCGTTCTAAAATTGCGTCTCCGGCGGGGTTCGGTCCAGATTCCACACGATCCACGCTGCAAGACGTCCACCACAACCTAGTGAACAAAAATAATAGAGACACCGATTCTTCGCATGCGACTGGCCTGCCAACCTGTTTCAGTCGTCAGAATCTATCCCGACAAAGAACTCTCGGCAACGAACAAGACAAGAGGAGACCGGCCGGTTCTCTTTATCGCAACATTCCGTTGAAAGAAACACCGTCCACTTTAAGGAAATGAGGATCAACAAGTGCTTATGGTAACACTGGTTACCGCAACGACTTGGTTGTTAGCACTGACAGTTGAAGCTCTACTTCGATTTGCAGGTTCCAATTAGAATTTGCAGCCCTATCTGTGCCACGCCTCCTGTGAGAGTATGTAACAAGCGAGTCAAGGCTGCAGCAGTTGGTTGACGTTCGACATAGAATTTATGACTAAAGAAAGAAAAAACAACGGAATATGGTCGCACGAGCCCCACGCTCCTTATCTACTCTACAGGATTGGGCCATGACACCTCCATAATTGGTACAAGCTACCAGGCCGCTGCTGGTGCTGAGTGTAGAAGAGCTCTTTGACGGATGCGCCTGGTTCCCTCCTTTCCCCTCCGCTCTCTTTACTAGTTGCTGCATTATGCAGGTATAATCAATTAAGGGAATCTTTGCGAAAAGAAGCACGTAAGTGAGCCAGCCATCGTAAGCCTGCAAATACAATATATGACTAATAACCAATAATAGAATGGCTGGACGCCGTCGCAAGCTGGATTCAATTGATTGGTTCTTCTATGAATGTGCCTTGGAGGAGGTGGTTTCGTGTGACCTGGCATGCCGAAGAGATTTCCCAGGGATCCATTGGAATTGGAGGTCTGATTTGACTTGATTTGATCCATGCCGACCGCTGCTCTAAGGCAGTGCCAAACGTGGCTATGCTCAGCCTAATCAGTTCTAGACCGAAGAGGATGGGAATATTGTCTTTATGTTAAAACATACTTGTGCTTTCTTTCCCCTAAACTTCTTCTCCTTCGACAACACCATCCATCATCATCAACAGTTCCGACTATCCGCACATAGTATCTCTGCCTATTATATACCCACTACCTCAAAATGGTCGACCGCGGCCTTCGGTTGCTTTCCCTTGATGGAGGCGGGGTCCGCGGCTTGTCTAGCCTCTTGATTCTTCAGCGGCTTATGATGGAGGCTGCCGAAGACCACAATAAGCCGCCCAAGCCTTGCGACTACTTTGACATGATTGGCGGTACCAGTACAGGCGGTCTCATTGCGATCATGCTAGGTCGTTGCGCATGAACCATCGAAGATTGCATCAGTGCTTACTGCATGCTTGCCGACAAGGTCTTCGAGAAAAAGAGCCATCGAGTTACCCTCAATGGCAAGGTCCAGGGCAGATTCAGCGCTGCCCAGCTTGAAAAGGTTGTCAAGAAGGTGATCGTCGAGCAAAATTTGAACCAAGACGAATTGTTCAAAGACCCGGCCGATTCTTGCAAGGTGTAAGTTCATTATACCAATCTGCCTGTCTTGGTATTATTCATCTGCTAACAACCACGAAGCTTTGTTTGTGCAACAAGCAAAGACGTTCACCAATCCATTGTCTGCTTCACGACTTACCCATCTCGTCGCCTTGTCCCACATCTCTATAACTCGACTACCATCTGGCAAGCCTGCCGCGCCACCTCTGCTGCTACGTCCTTTTTCGATCCCATTGCCATTGGCCCCATGGGTGAAGAGTTTGTCGATGGCGCTCTTGGATTGAACAATCCTGTCTCTATGCTCTGGACATAGGCTCAAGACGTATGGGGTGACCAGCTTGAGAAGAATTTGGCGTGTCTGGTATCTATAGGTACAGGAGTTCCTCCATTAACGCCAGTAGGCAACGATCCTGTCGGTATTTATCGAACCTTAAAGGCGATCGCAACAGAGACCGAACAAACAGCCAATGACTTCCAGAACAACCATAGGACTCTCGATGCAGAGGGGCGCTATTACCGCTTCAATGCTCACGGGATGGAATCTATTGGGCTTGAGGAGTCTAGGAAGAAGAAGGAAGTTTCTGCAGTGACAAATCATTACCTCAGTTCACCTGAGACTCTTAAGCGGTTGCAGAATTGCGCAAAGAATCTATCACGAAGAGAGTGTAAGTCTGCCTCGGTGCCCCAAATCGTAGGGTTTCTGGAGGCTCCAGCTTCTAGTCCGGAAACGCGATGCAAGTCATCTTCTGATATCCACGGGCGCTATTCCTTTTACTAGCTATGATAGTTCATTAGTGTTCTTTTTTTATCACTAAACGAAAATCAATAGCTTTCTTTTCGGTTCAAGAGATTATCAAACAGCCGTTTCAGGAATGTCACTTCTATTTAACATTACTTATACAACAACGTTTACATTTCACTCTTTAATCCTGGAATGGTCCTTCCGTGGTTATCACGTCGAAACTTTGCTAACGTATTGCTCTCTCATATAGACTACGGTCCCTATCGGGTCGAATTCTCTCTTCGGGGTATGCCGACGTCAAACAACTTCGTGCCTCGACCCTCTGATATTACTGATATTAAGAAATCTCTTCTTCCTTACCACCAGAAAAAACAAGGGTGCAATGTCTTTGTTCTTCACGGGCTCGGCGGAATTGGGAAAACTCAATTAGCTGTCAACTTTGCACGGCAATACCAAGCTGCCTTCAGCGCCATCTTTTGGCTGGACGGCACATCAGAAGACAGCCTTAAACAAAGCTTTGCTATTTGTGCAAAGAGGATACCAAAAGACCAGATTCCTGAGAATATCAGAAGTCCAAAAACAGGCGATGAAGTCGATCTCAACGATATTGTGGAGCACGTACAAGAGTGGCTCGCAAAAGATGACAATGTCGATTGGCTTTTGATCTTCGATAACGTTGATCTGGATCATACGCAAGGAAAAATACCGGGCGCTTATGACATTCGAAAGTATCTTCGGAGTGACCACAACGCAGTCCTGATTACATCCCGGTTGTCCAAGCTAGCACAGCTTGGCGAATCCAAGCGCATTGAATCTGCTGACCCAGACTTGAGTAAGAAAATATTCGAGAAGTGGTACGGGAAGGAACTAAGTGAGCACCCCAGGTTACTACGAGACCCAACCCTAAAGCTGATGCTAACGCGCTAATTCAGTGATGGATGATGATGCACAAAAGTTGCTGCATTTATTAGAAGGTCTGCCACTTGCACTCGCGCAAGCCGCTGCATATATGGGAGAATTAAACCTACATGTCGCTTCGTATATTCGCCTATATGAGCAGCAGTGGGATGAACTCTTCCAGAATACGGACTCTAGCCTGCTAGACTACGGTAATCGCAGCGTGTGGACGACGTGGACGATATCGTTCAACGCGATCGAAACGAGGGACAAGAACGCTGGGAATCTACTACGGCTTTGGGCTTTTTTCGACAATAGAGAGATGTGGCACAGTCTACTGCAAGTGGCCAGAAATGACCAGGAGCAGTGGCCCAAATGGCTCCGCGATATAGCATGCAACGAGGTTAGGTTTTTCAACATAGCGACACTGCTGCTCCGCTACTCTATGATCGAGGCCCGAGAGTCTGAGCAAAGCAGCTATAGCATGCATCCGGTAGTGCATAGATGGATGTCGCATATACAAGATGACGCTGGGAAGAGAGTGTTTCTACGGCTAGCGGTAATGTTGATAGGATTTTCAGTGCCCGACCGTACGACTAAGAATTATTGGGTACTCCAGCGACAGCTTCTCCCTCATGCGGAGAGGTGCTTATGGTGGATGGAAGAATTAAAAGGAGGAGAGTGCAACATTGAAGACATTACCATTGGTCATGCAACACATAGCTTGGGCCTTCTCTACTCGAATCAGGGCCGGCTAAAGGAGGCTGAAACGATGTATCAGCGAGCGCTAGAAGGCTACGAGAAGGCGCTCGGACCGGATCATACGTCGACTCTCGATACAGTTCACGGCTTGGGCAACCTCTATACGACTCAGGGCCGGCTGAAGGAGGCTGAAGCGATGTATCAGCGGGCGCTAGAAGGCTACGAGAAGGCGCTCGGACCGGATCATACGTCGACTCTCGGTACAGTTAACAACTTGGGCCACCTCTATGAGACTCAGGGCCGGCTAAAGGAGGCTGAAGCGATGTATCAGCGGGCGCTGTCTGGTTATTCAGCAGTCTTAGGCTCGTCCCACGCGAAATCTCTCCTTGTCGTAAAGAATATAGCATCTTTACAACTTGCAAAAGGTAGCCTCTCCCTGCAAGAACTAATAATTAAGTTTGCTAACATTTACAATTAGGTTCATCGTTAGAAATCGAATCGTCGTTCAATTATTCTTCGGCAGATGAAATTACCTCCACGATAGTTGAAGCTCCGCTTCAATTAGGTTCATCAGCCGCGACTAAGACGTCGTTGTGGAGGACGCGCTCAAAAATTTGGAATAACTTACGAGATAAGATACGCAGAACCCCTACGAGAACTACGCCATCTGAATCGACGGAAGGCTAAACATAAAGTTGGAAATTGCGTTGTGGTAAGGTGACTTAGCTGTTACGCAATGTAGTGACTTTACAAGTTCCTGCAACAAGTAGCCAAGGGTCTGTTTCGGGTTTGTGAAGGTTGACGATGAGGCAGCCAGGATAATGTATGCCTAGCCCACCTCATGGCCTCAGCTGGGCTTGGCGAGAGCGAAGGTGATAAAAAGGTTTCGAGAAACGGCGTCGTTTTTGCCTGAGTCATCCAAACCCCTGTTAAACACTACTGCCATAGATAATCTTCCGAAGGATTGATTGATTAAAGAGATGCGAGAAAAGAACGAGCAAACGCCATTTCTCAGCCCGGAACGGGAACCTGTCCCAACTTTTCTCTTGTGCCTACGTATGAAACGAGTTAGAAGGGGAATATTCAACACCTTATGGAGCACCTGACACTTCAATAAACGGACTATTGGCTTCCGAAGCGAACGTCCAAGTTGTCGGAGCTGGATTTGTTCCACTAGAAGGCGAACACAACCAAGCACATCCTGGGCATCTTTTCATTACGCGATTCTATGGATCAATTGCGTTCACGATGGTGTTTATGGCACCTATCGTACAAGATTCGCAGTGCTGATTTGCGTGTTCGGGATTCGAGTCCCGCTAACTGTACCACGAGGGACTTGATTAAGAACAAAAACTGGCAGAAAAAAATAATAATACAGCTACGGTTGATACTGCTTACTTTGAACGCAATGTCCAGCCTTATGAGACTACCCTATATACCATCCTCGGGCTGAATGGGTGTCAGAAACTTAATGAGGTCTTCGTTGGGTAGGTTTTGCAGTTCGCTAAGCTGTCTCCTTTGGAACAATCTTTCTTTGAACTCTCCTTCACCCCAAACAGAGAGTAGAAACTCATTGCCCACCTCACTCAACAACATTAGGCTTTCATACCGAGCAATGGTGGCACGGAAGGTCTCGAGGTCTTTGTTCGAAAACCTCGTCAAAGCTCTTAACGTGAACCCACTACCAAACCCAAGGGGTAAAAAGCAGAGAAGCCCATTGTATCCTTCTACCATCTTCATGATCTTCCGAGCCTCAGATATTTCCCTCGCGAATGCCTTCCGCGCTTTAGGAGTGTCTTCGATGCCACGACCTGCTAACACAGCTGATATACAACTTCCGCTTGCTCGATGTCGATGTTGATTTTCTTTCATGACTTTGGAAAGCCGAAAACTGGCTGACATGCCCAAAACGGTGTACAAAATACTGAGATTTTGTGCTTTTCGTCGTAGATTATCGTAGTGCCTAGCAGTTGACAACTCGTCCGTAGGCTTTCTCAAGGCGAACGAGCTTTTCAATGTGACGTCCGCACTGTCCCAAGCGTATACGATTGACATGAATCGCAAGAGCGCACCATTGTCTATCGTTAGGCTTGCGAGTTGACGACCTGATTCGATATCGGTATCGGTATTAGTATCCTTCGTGTTGCTGTCAACTTTGATTTGGGCATCACCGCAACCGACACTGATAGCGGCGTCAGTGTCATTGTCGCTGTTCTGATTGCCATTCTCGTTGTTACCATGCTCTTGGTACTTGTCTTGCCCTTGGTCCTGCTCCTCATCCTGCTCCTCGTCCTGCTTCTCGTCCTGCTCTTCGTTTTCTTCATAGTCCCTCCCTTTAGTATCGTTATTGCCGACAACATTGCTAATATCTCGAGACTGACCAAAATTCTGCCTTTTGCTGTGTAGTAGAAAGGTGGCGTTTAATTTCCGTTTCTTGGTGGGGGGCCCATGGGAAAGCTTTTTGAGGTTGCCATGGGACAGACCGTAGAACCCGTCTTCTGGACAAACAACCCATCCACGCGGAATTGCTTCTTCACTAAGCAAAGTGAAATTGGTTGCTATAGCAAGAGACGGGGTTTGATTGATAACTGCGTGATATTGTCGTGGTCGTGTTATAACCAGGTCGCCGGGGCCAGCGCGAATAATATCGAACTTGATTTCTTCTTCGAGTAGCCTCTTCGGACTTACCATGATATTCAGATGCCGTACAGACTGGTCGCATTTGTGGAGCGCCCATTTGGTCGCAAGCATCCTTTCAAATTTGGTAGTATCATTCGGGTCGATCATTATCCAGAGCTTCCACCCAAAAATATTGAGGTTATAGGAGCGCAATTGGGCATCCTCACAGTGGAAAGCAGTCCCTGAGCCACGCTCGCCCATGTGCATGTACAAGGTATTGATTCCAGGGAGGTCGCCGAGTATCGAAAGTGCGCCGGATGGGAAAAGCGAAGCAAGTGGTGTTCCAGAGGTATCAATAGGCCCGACGTAGTAGGGCATGGTGTTTTGAGGAGGGGATTCAACAATGTCCTGAAGGAATTGCTTGGCCTCGTCATCTGTGAGCGGGTTGAGGTCGAAATCGAAATTGATGGGAGTCATTGTTTTCGAGTGAGAAAGGTATAGCCGTGAAAACCCGTCATCGTCCCGATTGTGTTGGACTGCGAATTGATTATGATCCAGCAATGGTAGAGTTCGTTTAGTAAGATCTTTCCAATCAATACCCAAGTCTGCGATGGACACGCAGACTTTCCCACGGAAATGGGGATCTGTTTCGAGTTTGTGAAGGTTGGCGATGAGATTGAGTCCGAGGTCGTCTTTAGTTAATGGCTTGAAGGTATGATGTCCGATCTTGTCAAGATTTGGGATAGGATGAGGACCGGTGGTATTGATTAAATATCGTATCGATGGTAGGGATATTGAGGATGTTGAGGATTTGGTTGTTAATTCGTTGAGCTTGTTGTCGATGCGATTTAATACCTCAAGAACTTGTTGGATGGCGCTCGAGATGACGTCGGTTTGAGTAGAGGAAGAAGAGGGAGTGGATTTTTGCAAATTGGTTTCAGCAAAATTGCAAAGGTGTTGGATTTGGAGTTTGATTGATTCAATTTCGCTCTTAAGCGCCTCCATTTTGAAACGGCTGGAATTAAGAACGGAAGAAAGGACGATGGTTGTATGTAGTGGGAAGATGCGGAGATTGTGTTGACGTGAAAAGAGTGAAGCAAAGAATTTAGCGACAAGGGTGCCAAGCCTTTTTGTCGGTCCGGACCGATAAAAAGGCTTGACAAACCTGCAAATGTCGCTCCTACCGGTAATAATAAACGCCGCTGCTGAGTGGGTAGATTAGACCGTCCCATTCAGGCAGCAGGATGTGGGGCAGCTCTTATCGATTGGCTGAAAGTTGCGTACGGGGGAGTTGGTTAGGGCTGCGAAACAGGGAGATGCCTGTAGAGGGGGCGGCGTTCGACGAGCCAACCATAGCTCTAAGGATCCGAAGCCGGCAGCCTGCAACTCCACTTAGAGTATGTGTTGGAGGTGTCCCGTGTCACGTGCGGCCAGCCATGGCTCCCTTCTCCCTTCACTGGCCATGGCCCCACCGCACAGGGACCTCCCTTGCCTTACTTTTAGACCTCCAGACTTTACACACAGTCTGACCTCTACTCTACTCAATACATCACCATCATCATTGATTCGTTCGTTGTCGTTCAGCCTATTCACAAGAACACTGTGTTTTCTCGAGGTTATGAGGGAGCATAGGGCTCTGTGTTGTCACCTTGTTAGGCGCGAGATGGCTGGCGGCTTCCTCCCAATTACACGCCAATTACCCAAACGACATCTCTTTTTGAGGCTGGGCATTCATGGACCCGGAAGGTTCAGGGCGCCAAATCAATTGCCTGGGTTGGGCGAGGGTCGTGGCTTTCTGTCACGGGGTCTACAGGGTTGGCAATAGTGTACCAAGCAGCGGGCGTGGCGCGGGTAGGGCTGTAAATCCGAGTGGAACCTGCAGATTGCAGTAGAGCCTAGGCTGCCAGTGCTGTCAACAACCAAGCCGTTGCGATAACCAGTGTCCTTGAGCGGACAATGCATTGATGCCTTACTTTTCATTTCCTTTGGGACCTGTGGGCGCATGGAACCGACGCCAAACGGCGATCGCACCGACAGTAAGACATAAAGCAGCTGTTCATACTGCCAAAGAAATGCTTTCGTTGAAGTCCAAGGTTCAGCTACCGGAAGAGGAACTTGTACGGCCGCGACTGAGAATTGTGCTAGTATACCCATACCGCGGATATTGCGCTTTGACAAACGTTAACGGGGCTAGCCGCAGTGTCAGGACGGTCAACTTTTTTCTCGTAATCCGCCCAATTATATTCATCTTTTTAGCGCCGGCTCCCCACTCACTATAATGCCTCCGTCCGAACGATATGGATACGGGAGGTTGTTGTTCAGTTTTTTGACCCTACCACGTGATTAAAAGACCCGGTTCATATCCTTCCGACTCCGATAGATAAGCTACCATATCGCCAGACTAGTAGTTGGGTCGGTGACGACCAGCGAATCCCAGGTGTTGTATGTTCTTTTTTTTTTTGGTGTTTTTGCCTTGGATTCTTTTTTGGTCGCTGGACAAAGGCTTATCTTATCGCATCTCCGGCAGGCAGCTCGGGAGGCATCTGAGATCTGACAATGAACCGAGCAAACAGGAAGTCGTCCACGAGAAGATGCAGAGCAACTTGAACTCTCGAGAGTCCAGACAGCTTTTCATCGCCGCCTTGTGTTTATTCTCATCGCGCACTTCATGGCAGCCCTGTGATGTTCAATAACGGCGAAGTGAAGCGGACGTGAAGTCGTAGGTGAGGAAGTCGGGACCTCTCACGTGCCTCTGACGCACAGACCATCCCTAACACCTCTCGCTTGAACAAAGTCCACAATGACGGACATCACCACGTGCAAATTGTCAAATTCAAGGGTGGTTTTAGCTATACTATATGGAGGTTAGCGCTCTAGGCACCTGATATTGCCTGATTTCTAGGCATATTTGGGTTACCCCAGCACCCTCCATACTTTGTAAGCGAGTTAGTCATATACACTCTTCAATTGATTAATTCTGTACCATTATATTTAATAATTAATAGTCTAATTTGCGTATTTATATTTAACGCTACAATTATCGATTACAAATAATATTCCTATAAAATTAATAACGTTAGTTATATTTTTATTAAAGGAATTTACCGATAAGGTTATTACGGTTATCCTTAATATCCCTACCGATTGGTCTAGCTGGTATAAAGCTTTTAAAAGACTCGTTGGTAGTAATTAGAATTTTAGTAATTAGCTACTTAAGGGAGGACTTATAATTTAGAGGGTTCTACCCCTAAGGCCGGAAGATTTCTTCCTCACTAAGTAAGTAAAGAACTGCCTTCTAGCAGTAAAGAAGGAGTTTATTAAATTTAATAGAGGAATCCGGGTTAAGAAGGCTATAACTATAATTATAATAATTACTACTACTATAATTATTAATACGAATGGTATTATTATTAAATTATTATTACTAGTTAATTCTAGGAAGAAGTTACCGCTAACGCTAATAAAAACAATAAGGAAGGAAGTTTAAGAGAAGAAAATAAAGAAGAAGAAAAGGAGGATAATAAATATTACATTAAATAGAATATTAGGGAGGATATAATTATTAACCCTTTTACCGATTTAATAGTTATTAGGAAAATAGCGTACGATTAAGTTAATAATACGTACAACATTCATTATAAATATTAGAAAGATTTTAACAACGCTAATACCCGAATTCGTAATTAGATAAATACCTATATTACTGCTTATTATACCGAAACTTTATTTAAATAGGATAAATTTACCCGCGATTGGCTTAGAGAGATTAAGAATTAAATTAATTATCGATTTATTAACTAAATTAATAAAGTTCGTCGAAATCATTAAGCGTTTATTAAAGAAATTATAAAGAAGTAACTTAAGGATTTCAAAAAGTAGTTATCCGACTAGGAAATCCTTATTATAAATAGGAAGAGATTTAGAATTAATGAAACAATTTCCCCTACTTTATAATTTAACGACTTTATTGATATAGTCCGTAAATATAAACTTATTTAAATTAGTAATTTTTAAAAGTTCCATAACGAATTCGAAGAGATATCTTTAAAATATAAGGACGTATCCGCTAATTTTAAAAACGTTAATATATTAAAACGTACTATACTATTAATTAATTCTAAAGAAATTGAAATTTGTAGCGTTCAAAGTATTAGCTGCTTTAATTCTTAAGAGTTTGCGTTTAATAAAAAACACGCTCTTAATTCTAATTGTAAAAAGAAATAGATGGTAAAAGTAAGGAAGAAATATAGTATAAATAAATACATAAAAGATTCTTTATAGCCGAAAAAGAGAGGAAGCATTACGTCGATTTATAAAATTTATAAGCGAAGTCTTTACTTAAAAATATACTACTAATATTTAATGTTTAAAATTAAAGATAATTCTAAATAGAAATTAAGCGGCCCTGTTTATAAATTTATTAATAAAAAATTTTAAAAAGAATCTTAAAATTAGTAAAGAGGTTAAGAATGCTAGGAATTAAATATAGGACCGCTTTATTACTTTTATATAAATTATTATTTCGAAAAATTAAAGGAGATGAGAAATTAATATTTATAATTTAATATTTCTTATTAAATAAAGTATTTTTAATACGAGTAGCGGTAAGGATAATATTTACTTACTTAAGAATTTTATGATCCTCAATTCCGGGGCTTTTATTTATATTTTTAAGAAAATTAATTATTTTTCTTCATTTCCGATAACGTCCTTAAAGGATTGGATTTAGGCTAGTAAATCTTGAATACTTATTAAGGGTTTTAAGACTATTAATATAAAAATATGAGAAACTCTATTTGTATGGCTATGTTTCTCTATCTGTACCGTACCCCATCCTATCCGACTAATCAAAAGTGTTGCATTCCCCCTCTCCGCTTTTTAAGCGCATTCGCATTCCCAATAGGATATTTGTAATTCCTAACAGCGCATTCGCATTCCCGACAGGACATTCGCGCTCCCGACAAGGCATTTACACCTCAGAAAAGTATAGTCGCTATCGTAAATCAATTGCAGTCGCTGTCGCATGTTATATTTCTATTCGCATATTAATTTTCTTCGTCATTTCAATCGCTTTCGAGGAAGAAATGCCTTGTCGGGCATGGAGTTTGGAAGGCCCTGTCGGGATTGCGAATGCGCTGTTCGGGGCTGTGAATGCCCTGTCGGGAATGCGAATGCGCTGTTTGGGAGCTACGAATGCCCTATTCGAGGTCACGAATGCCCTATCGCGGTCCGGGTGGGGGTAGGGTTAGGGATATATATGGTGAAAAAAGTGGGTTACGGTACAAATAGAGAAACATGGCCGTACAAATAGAGTTTCTCAAAAATATAGGGAGAGAAGGGAATTTAAGGCTATAATTAAAAAAAAGTAACCTTCTACCCTAATTTTGCTATAAATCTTATATTATTATGCCTACTTCGAAAGTAAAATTTTTATTAAAATTACAAACCCCTTTAGTAATTACTTCCGTCGGCCAAATAGTTTACTCTTTTATTTCCTTTAAGAAATTTATTATTAAACGGTCTTTAAATACCTACCCCTTTCCTTTAATTACGCTGCTTTCTATATTCGTCGAAATTGCTTTAATTCCTTTATTTATCACAAAGCTAGCCTATAATGTGGTTGTACTACACTGACTGCATATGTACTATGCTAGAGCTGGTACTATAGCCCAGAGCTATATATTTATATATTAATTATATGCTTTAGTTATATACAACTTTACGTACGCATATACGGATTGGCTTACTTAGGCTCTCGCTTATATAGTTAGTCTTCTACGTATACTTCCCTTTCTTTCCTTCGTATAATAACGTATATTTTACCCTACCCCTAACGGTGCCTTTTCACCCTATAATAATTTATTATACTTAATTATTGCGTTGCGCGCGCTTATTTAAAGGAAGAGCGATTGTAATTAATTTTAATCGTTACAACGTCGTTAATTTAGTATTATCGATTCGTAATTAAGATTCGTCCCTATACGATTAAGACCCCGCGTTGTAATTTTAATTTCGATTTAAATAAATTATTAAAATGAATATTACTATTAAATAGTTCGTACTCTCTTTTTCCCTTTTATTTACCCGGCGTATTAATTTAGCGATTAATATTTAGCGATATCGTTTTATACGCTCCCTTAATAACCGATAATCTTTTTACTATTATTATAGTTAGTACCCTCGTTACTTTAGACCCGGTTAATTAAGAATATTATTCTAACGTTGTTTAAGCTTTTGTATCTTTTAATAATTAAGCGGTTTAAATTAATATTACTACTGAATACGTATTTAATTTCATTTAATTTCCCATCTTTCAAATAATTTTTAAAGCTTTTAATTGCCTTCTTTATTAATAATATTATTGTTGCCCGTATTTAGGCTTAAGATGTATAAGAAGAATTTGAAACTTACGAAGCTAAATTCGTTACCGCGTAATATAATATTAAACGCTATAATAATAATATTATTATAATTTAAATTCAAACCCTCCTCTACGCGTAAAAGGTAATTAAAAATTATAATAAAGCTATTTACAACCTTTATAATAGTTATACTAACGAATTTACTACTATCCGTAATATTTATTCTAATATTGTTAATACTTTTAATAATAATATTATTACCTTAAAATAAGAATTTGCTAATTTCTACGCAAATTCGAAGAAAGTGCTTAAAAAATAATATAATAAATATTTTAAGTATATTAACGACCTTCGTTAATATTTTATCGCTACCTTTAAGGCCGAACCCGCCCCCAAACCCGAAGTTATTCCGCCCCTCGATGAGGATTTTAATAATAATAAAAACCCCGAGGACCCCGAAATAATAATTTTTAACGATAATAGCAACTATAGGTCGGTATTATATATTATAATATTTCCCGTTCTCAATAGGAAAGGTACTTCTATTAAATATATTATTAAATATTACGCTTAACGTCTCCGCATTAAATTAATTTAAATCAATAAATTAAAAATCTTTATTACTAAACGTACTAAATTCTTATTAAATACCCGCTCTATTTAGGGCTTTCTTTTTAAAGTTATTAAAACCGAATTTAATGAAGTCCTTATTGGCGAGCCCGCTAAATACAATGTAGTTTTCGAATTATTCGACGAATTTAATAAAAAACATAATAATATTAATGTTATCAT